CTATAATTTTGTACACGTTGCTGAAGCTAACTGGAGTTAATTTCAAATAGATTTTCTCGTTTGTGGCATTTGCTTAAAATATGCTTTCTAATCTCTTGAACTTATCGCGGATTCGTTCGTATTCAATTGTTTATACGCTCATTTAGTGCAAAGTTATATCTCCGTATCTATATGCATTACCAGATTTATTTTATTGCATTTTGTCTTTTCAAGTTATTGGCTGTTGCTTGGTATCCCCGGTGTAGCTGCACTTGATGTGCGTGTTGCCAAGGTGCGTACCTGATTACTGTAGCTGACCGTCACCTTGAGAGAAGTTGCGTGCTAATCGCTCACTTGTGCACTCGTGGTTTTTTAACTGTGGTTCAGCGACATTTTGTCGCACACCTTTGGATCCATATTCATTCGTCGTGCTTTTACAAGCTCTACTTTGTGATACCAGTTTCCCGAGCATACCTCAGTGCATCCTACATTTACGCTGATTTCTAACTTCCGGGCCGTGTTTCGTCGATATCCAAGCGGCAAAAGTTGTCTACCTCCAATCATCGGAGACATTGTTTGGTCTCACTCGATAGACCATTTCAACGGCTTTCGAACGAACTGTCACTCGTTCAAATCCAACATTGCTCGGTGCAGCTACAGGTCTCAAAGCAAATTCACCCGGCGAGATCCATACGCAAAACCACGAAAATTCTCAATCACATCTTCGTGTATTCTGCCCCAAGTTCAACCCGTCACATTCAACTGGCACGCCAGAGAGGACAGTATAAAAGTACACAACTGTAACGTGACCACTGTGACCTTACCGACAACGTCAATAACAGAACGACCTTTTACCATAGAAGGTGAGTAAATCAAATGGTTCGTAACATTTGCTCAACAAGCGTGATGCCCGGCGTGCCACAGACTAAAGACCTATGTGGATCATGTTCCAAACTTGTTAAGGGGGGCATTTTGTGCCGTAACTGTTGCAAGTTCTTCCATGCGAGATGCCTCAGAGTTCAACCTAGTCAGGCCAAGTTATTAAACAAACCAGACTCGCTATGGTTCTGTGTGGAATGCACATCGATCCCACTGATAAAAAGCATGCTCCTATTATCTCAGAAGTATGACCAGCTACTAGCGAAGTTTGAGGAAATGGTGACCACCAAAATCACTGGGGTTGGGGTAAGCATAGCAGACTGTGCAACCCAATCCTCTCCCGTAAGTGCTTCTCCTAACCCGCGAAGAACTGTTAATAACACCGTAAGCAACACGACACCTAGAGTCCAGAACATCAACAGCTGTCCCAATACCATACGTAGCTCACATTTGACTAAAGCGGTTCCCAGTTCGATCGGAGTAACTACACGTAAGGCTGCTTCCAAACTCGCGACGGAGTGCGTAGAAAAAGAGCAAGCCGTTACGAGCGAAAGTTGGGTTACGGTTGCCTCCAAGAAGAGCCGTCATATAAAAGTAACATCACCCTCAACTGGATCGGAAACTGAGGATCGTAGCGGAGTTTTCCAGGTGCAAGCACCACCGGTTTCCTGCGGTAAATCTCCGATTACTTCAATCACTAAACGCGACATGTCGAAAGGTCTAAAGAAACAACTACCTGTACTGAGCGTACTGTGCTCCAATATCCCAGAATCAAAGTCGACATCGATAAGAGGCAGGCAATTGGATGACCTCAACCAGTGGGACATTATTAGTAACCTAATCGGTGTTGTACTTACACCTGTACACGTAATGCGTATTACACGACACCCCAACTCTAAACATTTCGGAGAGCCGAGACTTCTGCGTGTTGTGCTGAACTCCATCACTGAAGTAGAATCAGTACTACTGTCGGCAGGTAGTCTCAGAAATGAACACTGCTCCATCCGTATCTTTCCAGACAACCCATGGGGCGAGCGTTATCGAGTTAACCGCAACTTAGAGGACTACCGGAAGGAAACTTCAACCAGAACCATACTTCTTCACGGGGTTCCTGAAACCGAAGCATGTGATCAGCATGAAATAACAATCCATGATAAAGAACAGTGGTGTTATATTCGTGAAACACTCCGCTTGGATGATGTGGTAGCGAAATCCGTGTCACGACTGCGTACCTCACCGAACTACAGAGGAATTGGACCGAGAGTGTTGAAGGTGGTCCTTCAGTCAAAACATATGGTAGCACGGATGTTACAAAGCTGGCGCATGTTCCGTTGCAAGCTACCATCTGAGGTTCGGCTGAAGACAATCAGCGATATGCCTCCTAGAGATGATATGTCACTCAAAGAACCAAACGCGATGGGATCTATGAGAGAACAACGCACCAGTATTGTGCCGAATGAGCCCATACAAACTGTAGAAGATGATAGTGACCAGACACCTTACACTGTACGTCGCAGATCAGATACGGGACTAACTACACGGATGATGAATAAAATGTTAAACCCTTCACCAAGCACACATCGAAAAAACGATTAGTCGCCGGCCACTCACTGGTCGGCGAAACTTCACATATGAGTTGCAGAACCTCCGAAACATTGCTTAAATCTACGAAACTTTCATGTATGTACACTAACGCCCAAGGGCTCCTCAGTAAAATTACCGAACTTCGACTACGTCAGGTTGCGAATGCGTGGGACCTAATTTCTATTACCGAAACTTGGTTACACCAAGAGGTGACTGATGCTGAGGTTGAGATAGCCGGAATGTCACTCATCCGGAACGACCGCCCCAGCAGAGGAGGTGGGGTCCTACTCTACTACCGCAGCGATCTACAATGTACAACCGTTGACGATCTGGAAGCACACGTTACTGACTCACTCTGGTGCCGTCTCCGACTGAGACACAACGATACGTGTCTAGTAGCTGTCGTTTACCGCCCCCCAACGTCCACTCCGGAAATGGATTCCTGCTTGATCCGTGGCCTCAACAGAGTAACACGCACTAGGTATAGCCACATTCTCATCTCCGGGGACTTCAATCTACACAATCTGGAGGTTTCGGCATCGCCCAGTGAGCAGTTCAAAGCAGACTTGCAGGAACTGATCGCTAATATTCCTTTGTACAATCATGTCACCACGCCCACTAGATTCAGGGCAGCAAACAAACCGTCCATATTGGACCTTGTGCTCACGAATGAAGAGCTCATGGTTGACAAGTTATTGATGGATAGTCCATTAGGGCTCAGTGACCATGTAGTAATAACTTTTGACTATGTGTGTTATGCAGAGTATCCTTCTGAACACTCGGAACTAACTCATACAATCACACGCTACCACGTATTGAAAGAACTCGCCGACGCAACTGCTTGGGAATTCTCAAACAAAAGTCCCCTTGACAACGTTTGGGCAGAGTTCGTTAATAAACTCAGCGACGTCGTCAACAGAGCATCAGAGACCAAACCCCTTCGTCCCGAGAAAATGCCTTCAATTATAAGGAGTAGGACTCGAAAATGCCTGGCGATAAGGGATACAGCATGGCATGCCTACAAGATTAACCCCGACTCAGAGAATTGGGAAAATTTCCTGACCCATCGCAACCATTGCACTGCACTTGTCCGTGAGGACAAAGTAACTTATCAACAGAGCCTAGCCAAAAAATTCATGGCAAACAACAAACTGCTATATAGGCATGTCAATAAGCTTCGTAAAGTGAAGCATGGAATCCCCCCACTATTCACGACAGGCCGTAGAGTACAAAGCGCCGAAGAAGCAGCTAATGCCCTGCGGCTTCAATACGCCCCAATCTTCGAACTCGCAACATCTACCTGTCCCATAATATCAAGCACATTACCGACACCTTTGTTTACAAAAGTTATTTTCAACCCATCAATTGTGCTAAGGAAGTTACTCTCACTGCGTGAGCATAGTTCTCCAGGAGCAGACAACATCCGCCCGAAGGCACTGAAGGCTGTGGCCACCAAGCTAGCTGAACCACTGTCACAGTTCTTTCAAAGGTGCTTTGATGAACAACAAGTCCCCACTATGTGGAAGTGTGGCATTATCACCCCTATTTTTAAAGGCGGTAGCCGTTCCGATCCTGCAAACTATCGTCCAGTGACTCTCCTCCCTGTGCTCGCGAAGGTGATGGAAGCAGTCGTCTCTGACACTTTAATGGACTACCTAGAAAAATGCAACATTTTGGTACCGGAACAGCATGGCTTCCGTCAACACCGGTCATGCACTACCAACCTACTTATTGCACGAGGTAGTTGGACGGAAGTGGCCGATGATGGGGTCGGAGTCGACGTCATCTATCTGGACTTCTCCAAAGCTTTCGACCGCCTTGATCACCGCATCCTACTTCAAAGACTACAGAGTTACGGAATCGGTGATCCTGTACTTGGTTGGATTGGCAACTTCCTTTACCAACGAAAGCTTCAAGTACGTGTTAGGGGATCACTCTCTAACCCAATTGAGGTGGAATGTGGTGTCCCACAAGGCTCAGTGCTGGGACCGCGTTTATTCCTGGTGTTTATCAACGACCTGGCAAGAGTCATCTCCTCAAATTTCCTGCTTTTCGCCGATGATGTCAAGATATGGCGGGCGATTGGTAACAAGTCCGATCAGGATCTGCTCCAACATGACTTAGATCGCATTTACGAATGGTCAAAGAGGAACAAGCTTCAATTGAACATAGCTAAGTGCAAAGTGATGCATCTGCGTCACCAGCCGGTGAGCGCTTACAAGATTGGAGACCACATTTTGGCGAACGTTTCTCAGGAGCGTGACCTGGGTGTATTGGTGCAGGAAGATCTCGGGTGTTCAAAACAAGCAGAGAAGGCGACGAGAACCGGCAATCAACACTTCGGCCTTCTTCGCAGAGCCTTCGGTCGGTTTGAACCCTCAATCTTTCCCCAAATGCTTAACGCCTACGTGCGACCTCACGTGGAATATGCTATTCAGGTGTGGCAGCCGTGGCAGAAACAGGATCTCGTTGCTCTCGAGACTCCTCAACGACGGGCAACCAAGAATGTCAGGGGCCTCTTTCATCTCCCCTATCAGCTTAGACTGAAATCTCTAAGAATGTACAGCAGTCGATATCGGCTTTTGCGGGGGGATCTCATAATGGTTTACCAGATTCTGAAGAACCCAAACCACATTTGCCGTCCGCTTCTGGAATTGAACCACAACACTAAACTAAGAGGTCACCCTCTGAAACTGACAATTCAGTATAGCCGGCTTGAATGCCGCAAAAATTTCTTTTCACTCCGCGTGTGCCAGCCTTGGAACGCCCTCCCTAATTATGTCGTCTCTGCTCCCAATCTGGCAATATTTAAAAAACGTGTTGACGATGCATTGTCTCACTTACATTTCATTTTATGACTTGTTAGCCAGGAGCTACAAAACGCAATCAAACGGTTTCTTGCCAAACGCCTAACCAATGGATTTATAGTTTCATATGTTTCATACGCGAACTTCTCCGCTATTCCGCATAAGTCTATGGTGAGTCCACCACAACGCTTTTCCCTTTATCATGCAATTGATTTTCACAATAATTTTCCATCCTACGGGACTTGTTAAGCAACGCTTTTTTACCCGTAATAAACCATTGTTCCATTGTTCCATTATCCACTACCTGCTCCATACTGGCTCCAGGAGACATTTGGTCGTTGCTGTAGTCGACGAGGTGCACAGTCCTTGTGGCCGTGTGAGGCTTGAAGAGTGGTTCCATGCACTCAGTGTGGAGCGGACTACGGTGCAGCCACCGCCTTGTGTGCGATTGAGTCCCAAATACAGCGTGTTTGTGTTTGCCTGTGAAGGAGTGTGGGCCGGCTCCGTTGATGAAACAAGGATCCCATCCACATGACTCTCGGTCTTATTCCTTCGGGTTTACACTGGATATGGGGTGTGTGGTTTGAGCTGTGCGTGGTGCAGAGCAAGCCACCCGTGGTCCCTCTTTAGGCGCAGGCCTCCTGTGTTTGGCCACAGTGACACGCAACTCGGAAACCGGATGACACCAACCACTGGAGCCGTTGGGGCAAACTTTCTCCAATTCACACCTGATTCCTAAGTCAGAGATTACTGGAGGCTCCGATAGTTCGTTTCTAACAAATTAGCTGTCGGTCATGGTGCTATTGCATACCGTGATTCTTGCTTGTAGCAGAGGCCTCCGTTTGGCTACCGTGCAGCTTACTGATCCGCGTCAATGCACCTCGTCTTTGGAACCCCGGGGATCCGTGTGTTGCTAGGCCATGTCTACTTTTGTGGGCTGCTACCCAAATGGCCGAAAGACTTGCTGATTCAGCTACTTCAACTTGCCAGTTGCTATTTTTACTGTAAGTGGTATAAACGTATCGTTCTTAGCGCATTTCCTCCATCTCTCCGCACACATGATTTGGGTTGTTTAGTATCATGGATGCCATTATCAGGTCGCACTGAGCAGGTCGGAAAATGGAGATGTCGAATTGTCCGAATACCCGTCTCAGCAACCCAACGTGGTGATTACCAGTTGTCGATGCATTTTTGGATTGCTGTGAACTACGCACGTCATCTTGAACCAGCACGTCTAGGTAGCGTTCGCTGCAGTACTTGCGTCCCTAGCATGTAGCAGTATGTATTCTGGCGTTGTATGGAGCGTATCTTGTATTTGCTTACGTCGAATCTCCACGGCTTTTCACTTGACCACTGCTGTACCATGCCCAAATCATGCTGCAACGTATCCGGATTGGCCTCCGACTGAATCCTGCGCTGAACCTTGATGTCGTCAGCAAACATTAGCAAACTTGAACCCATCGTCTGTACCGGGACGTTGATAAATACCAAAAACAATCGTGGTCCTAGAACAGAGCCATGAAGTATACCACATTCTACATGTATGGAGTCTGATAACAAGTTTCGAACTCTAACCACCATCTGCCGTGGTAGGAGAAAACGGGTAATCCAGGTGAAAAGGAGGTCACCGATGTCGTTATATTGCAGCTTTGAAGGTAGAATCCTTTGATCCAGGCGGTCGAATGCCTTCGAGAAATAATAGTAGACCACATGGACGTTCTCTCTTGCGTCAGCTGAGTCGGTGCAACTACTCCGGGATAACAGTAAATTTGTTGTGCACGATAGCTGCTGACGAAATCCATGTTGTTCGAGAGCAATTATGTTGCAATTTTCCGGATAGCACACCAATGCATCGGCAACGATGGACTCCATGACATTAGACGGTACAGCAGGAAGTGATACCACTGAAAGAAATAAGCCAACGGTACTGCCAGTTGTCGTGACGCTGCTCCCAGGGCTTCTGGGTAAGTAAAATCGACAATAAGGAATCTGTGATTGAACAGCTACGTAAGCTTTTGCAGAAAAGCTTCCGCAGTAAAGGTATTGTGGTTGAAATCCTGCGCCGGGGTAACAAAAGATGGAAAATCACCAGGTTGCAAGATCCTCTTAACCGTAGGTTAATATTGTATTTGTGGTTGCTACGTATCAGTGTGTGACAAAGCTATAGTTCTGGGAAGAACTACGATAAGGCCAGTGCTACAGTATGTACCTGAGACGTGACCAGTTCGTACGGAAGAAAGCAAACGGTTGGCCGTCATTGATCAACGGGTCTCACACAGTATTGTACGCATCTGTTGTGAACACAAGGTGAGCAATGCTAAGACTCACCAATTGTTTATTTGTACGAAACCCACCGGTTCCACACTTCAGTTTCGGTTGAAGTTGAATGGGTAACGTTGGTTAGGTCATTTACTCCGTACACCAGTTACTCGCTTTTCTCAGAGAGCACTAAACGACAGCACTGCACTAAGTTGGGCGAAAACACGAGATGCTCAATCGATGTCGTGACATAGGGATATGAAGAAACTGACCGAGACAATTTTTCAAGCAGGTACGTGCCGTCTTCGTAGATGGGGGCCTTGTGCAAGTCTTAACCCATGATTAGAGACCCTGTCGGACGTGGTGCATTGTCTGAGTCAGTGCTGCTGCTGGAATCGTTCTCTTGCGTGTAGCTGTTTATACTTCAATGGGATTACCTTCATGCAGCTCGTTCTTGCTTCCATTCTGCTAATCCCATATTTAAGTCGCAGTGCATTTACTTATCATTCTTCATTGTTGCCACTCTGACCACGCGATTCGTGTCAACTGCATCCACAGGACTTTGGTGCCCGGATCATGATTTATCAACTGCAGCAAACTGAAATGAAACAACCGGGTAATCTATAAATGTCGTAGGTTATTACGAAAGAGAAATTCCAGATAGAACTTGGCTCACTTAGGAGGAAATTAAAATACTATCAAGTCGGTATTATTTGGAAACTTATTTCTCACGTGTACTTCAATCGGTCTATTTTAATGGGAAGATGGTTGCGATGAAATAGCAGTAGTTGTGCAGCACGTGTATGTTCGTCCGCCAACGCGATGTCCATTATTCCTAAACACAGTAGACCCTGTAGATAACGGTAATTGCAGTGCTACGGCTAAAGATCGGTCAGTGCAGAGCCGACGGACATCCAGTTTTCCGCGAAACATTCTGGCCTCAAACACTGACCAGTATGTATCGATCGTTCAAGTATCCCTAGTCTGTGCCTCATCACATGAAGCGCTGTGTAAGTTGCGGTACGCAGACGCCGCACTTGAGTGCGTAGTGCATCGTGTGAGATCCGATTGGATCTCCGGACTGTCGTTAGAATTCCTCGGGGTATTCTCAGGGCGCGCAATGTGCGGCAATTTACGGTGCGTACATGAAAATCGGTAGACACATCCCGGTCACGATGTACAATGTCGTCCCCCACTCGTGACTGTGATAGTCACTCGCACCCACTGATATACTGCTGTTCATATGCATGAGGCCGCCGTTTGTGCGAGGCTACCTGTCTGACGCACATTCTCACCTTAACCTGTATTGTCGGTGACTTTTCTTTTTCATTTGACTTGACGTTTGGTCACTATATTGTCCGTTTAAGTGCGATCTTTTTACAGACATCTGTATGCCCATTTGTCCGCACTTATAACATTGGAGATATAAATGGCTGATGATATATAGCTAACCCAATTGCCTTAACATCAGCAACAGCGTGCTTTGCTTTAACAGGATCAAAGACAATTTATAATATTCGAAAACAACCCGTTTGCATATTTTAGGGGCAACTTTTCGCTTTATAGGCCGAGTGAAACAGTCGAAGTTTGGTATAGGACTTAAAGCAACTGGGAAGATTATCGCGACAAGTGAGATGTTGGCAGAAAATCAATCGCGCTACAGGTCAAAGCGTCACTGCAATAAGGCATGGAACGATCACAAGCCATCCGGGTTACAAGGTCACACACGGTATGACGTGACGTTCATTCGCTGCCCTTGATCCGTCCGCAGACGCTCCTTAAACTCGTTGGGTTAAGACAGCTCGCTACACACACGAAATCTCTGTTCCGTTCATTATGTTCACGTAGCTGTTCTCGTTGCCTATCGCAACAGCCTCATCACTAAGCCTTCGAGGGGTTTATCGTAACCCCTCTAAACGATTTTGACGTTATCCAAGTCGGTAGCATGACCTGTATCTATCGCGCGTATCGCTACCGCCAAATCCCTTGGTTGAGTCATATATTCAGGCTCGTTCCTCGGTGATCTAGTTATGCGCCACTTCCGTTTTGCTATCCTTCCGCGTTAGTCTCCCGCAGTTTGGCCGATATACATGTGTACACAGTTTTTGCAACTAACTTTGTAGATGTAATTAGTTGTACTAACTGCGGGAAGTGGGTCCTTCAAATGCACCAGTGTGGAGCGGAGAGTATGGTCTTTCTGAAAAGCTGCTCGTACGTTTTCTTTGTTTAAGACCCTCCGGATGGCCTTCGAGGTTCCATTTTTATAAGAAACTCCTACCGTCCCAAACCACTCCGTTGTAAGCCGTGGGTTTGGATTCAAAAATTTGATGCAGCTATCGAACGGTTCCCAGCGTTTTCCAAGACCTTGAGAATATTATTATTCCAACCACTCACTGAGAGATTATCATCACTATATCCTACACCCGCGACGGTGAAAACCAAGTCCATTTATGCTGGAGCATTGGTAAACGGAATGCAAGACTTCTAATATGACGCAGAGAACGGCATCATATCCGTGACCTGGTATAGGCGATATGAAGACATCTTTCTGGCTGACGCGACCAAGCTTGCTGATGCGACCAAAGTACGGTTGTTGCTACGGGAGCTGGGCGCAAATAAGCACAACTAGTACTGTAAATTCATTCCACCTAAACATGCTTGGGGGTGCAATTTCGGCTTGTAGATGTTTACACCTCCATTTTTAGTGAAAGGTCCTCAATTTTCAATGTCCGGTATCAATGTTTGAGGCTGGTTAAGAATCAAGCCGAGGATTTTGTTTCATACTCGAGCAG